AGGACAGTAGAAATGGGTCGTGGGCCAACCTTAGAGTGCAATCTTTCGAAAAATGGGATTCAAAGAGAGCTTTCGATGTTGAAAATAGAATTAATACTTACGGTAAACACGGAATTCGCCTCGTGGAGGGAGGGGTGGGGTTATGGATTGGAGTTGTTTCTTCTAGAGCTAGAAGGTTGAGCTGTTATATGACTGTTCTCAAAATGTCGTCAATCCAGACATGATGCCTCAATAACGCTTGGTAGTAACTAATGTTTTTGACTTCAGGAATATGAAGCGGATCTTGAAGAAACGATTGAGTACTGTCCACTTCAATGCAACAGCGCCTCCTCTGCTATTATCATTGAACAGGTGAGCGATTCTTCATGCTCACTCCCTATGTTCAAGGAAATAGGGCAAAGGGCATCGCCTACAAGACGCCCATAACCAACCGAAGAAAATGACTAAGAAAGATAAGCAAGAACTCGTATTCTCACTTCCATCCCAAACCAACCAGCAGTGGACATCTCCAAAGTTTTCGGCTACTGGTTCTCCGGACGTTAGAGAGAATCACTAACCCCGCACTTGAACGCCTAAGCCGTAGCCTAGGCCACTTTCATACTTGAATGGGGCCGCCATTTTGAGTCTGGCATGGGCTCGGGCATGCGGCGCACAGGAAGAATTTGGTAAAATTTTGACCCCACTCTTCTCCAAGTTCATATCTTTCCCCGTTTACAGCTACCAGAAAATGAAGACTGTACCATCGGCAACGGTGTCAATGTGATACAACGACGAAATGACTGGTTCTTGTGGAGAGGTGAAGATTGCCAGAAAGTGCAAAGCACTTTCAAAATCGGCTGCACATTTGACAGTAGGTGAGATTTTATTTACCTTTTTAGATTACAACGAATAAAGGTAAATATCCACTAGAGACTTCATTTTGGAGTAATTTCCCTGATTAGGAGCATATAATTTTCTTTTAAAGCATTGAGTCCGAAAATAGACTTAGTGCTCCGTAAAATTCTCAGAGGGTTCTGATATTTCCCCTTTTCTGCCAGTGGACCAAATCTGATCGTGACATTTTTCAGGCAAGGGAAAAAGGAAGAGAAATTACCAATGACTAAACCGTTGAAGTCCAGGCCCGAAGGCAAGCTGAAACTCGTCCCAGCATCTCCTGTGAAGCATGAATTCAACTTGAAAAGTGAAGAAATGCCCAGCACAGATGATCCACTTCTTGAACAAGTAGATCTTTTATTGAAAGCCATGTTCCCCACTTATCGAAACTAAATTCTCTTAGAGTCGTCCCTTAAAAATACCGTAACATGCTGCGAGTCCTTCTAATGTGATTTATATTGTAGAACTCTTACTGTAGAACATTATCTCAAGCATTTTTATTCAGATGCAATATTTTGTATTTCAAGTTTTTTACAGCTGTCCATTTATTCTGTTAAATATTACCAGTGTTCATTACAGTATCTTTCCGTCCAATTAGATTCTCAAACTATCCTGTTAGACTAATTTGTACAGTCCTCCTTATTATTTTTGCTGTTGTACATTGTGCCGAGTATAAATAAATGATGAAATATGCAGTTGGCGTTATCGATCGATCGTTTTGGTGTGCGCCATGCATTTGACTACTATTCAGCATTGCCTGGATGCGATTTTGGTCTATACGATGACTTGCGTCGGCCAGCCGATGCCAAGCTCCGTACTTTTACTGTCTCAGATGAGTCTGGTACCGATTCATCGCCCAAGAGAATGGAAGACTAAATTGACTCTGTGGGTAATAACGCGAGATTTGTCCTGAAGGTTATGCGTTTGAAAATGCGCCATTTGGCGTTACACCACCGCCGCCTTTGTATAGGACTGCGTGAGCCACCTA